AGTAGTTGTGAGCTGACTCGTGGGCTGAGTTGCTCTGCGGCATATGGACTCTTCCTGGACCAGTGATCAAACCTGTGTCTCCGGCATTGGCAGGGGGCCTCCCATCCCTTGAACCACTAGGGAAGTCCTAGAATTCTTTTCTGGGTAAATCTTAATAGCTGCAATGGGCTTTTTAAAAGAATTTAATTTTTTACACAATTTTAAAGGTTGTACTTCCCCATGTTTTATTAAGGAATGTTTATACAAATTGCATTTAATCCCAAAATATACTAATGAGGTTAAATTTTTTTCAAATATTTCTGGACTTTTTAACCTATTTATCAACCTCAGATAAATACATATAATGAGATTAGGTGCTTTTTAAATTCTAATTTTATTTTCTTTTTATAAACTTTTATTGAAGCATAGCATAGATAAGAGAAAAATACACAAATAAAATACAAGTACAGCTAAAGCTAAATTTCACAAAGTGAGTTTCTCATGTAATCAGCACCCAGATCATGAAACTGAACATTGACATCCCCCTAGAAGCCCTCTTGTACTCAGTCACCCACTTAGAGGAAACTAGCCTTGACTTATAACACCATGGATTAATTTTGCCTATATTTGAACTTTATGTAAATGGAATCATAGGGTGTGTATTCTTTTGTCTAATTTTCCTTACTTAGCATTATGTTTGCAAGACGTGTCCCATCTTGTTATGGGTAACTGCTGTTCGTTCATTCTTATTGCTGTTCAGTTTTCCATGGTATAAATATGCCATGATGGATTTATCTATTCTGCTGTGAATAAGCATTTGACTATTCACACTTTGGGGCTATTAAAATCAATGCTGCCATGAACATTTTTATGCATGTCTTTGGTAAACATTTGAGCACATTTTTCTATTGGATATGTACCAGGTGTGGAAATTCTGGGTCATGGCATTACATTTATGGCCAGGCTTCATAGATCCTACTATTTAGTCAAAGTAGTTGTGTAATGTACATTCACACAAGGAGTGTTTGGAAACTCTTGTTGATCTATACATTACAACTTGCTTTTTGTTTTTTTGTTGTTACGTCTTGGCATTCTTTCCATGACAGGACATAAAGATCTACTTAATTCTTTTCTTTAAATATAGTATTCCATAGGAACATAGGTTACTTAATGTTTCTCTAATGCTGACCATGAAGGTGTTTCATTTTTGCTATATAAAAATAGCATAACTTCTAAAATTTAACATATATCCACCTTTTTACAACATAGTTGGTAACACAGATACATTCACATGTACAAATTATTCATTAAATATATACACATGATTTTATAACTTTTTATTTTGAAATAATTTTAGACTTATAGAAAGTTGCAAAAATAGTACAGCACTTTCTCATATACCAAGCCTCTCCAATGTTAACACCTTCCATAAATGTGATACAATTATAAAAACTAAGAAGTTAGCATTGGTATAATACTATTAACTAACCTACAGATTTTGTTTGATTTTATCAGTTTTTCCACTGACATCTTTTTGTCCAGTCCATGATTCAATTTGGGTTCACTGTTTGCATTTAGACCTCATATCTTTTTAATCTTCTTTGATCTGTGACAGTTCCTTAGTCTTTCTTTGTCTTTTGTGACTGGAGGTTTTTGAAGAGAACTGATCAGTTGTTTTGTAGAATCCCCTCAATTTGGGTTTGTCTGATGTTTACCCATAATTTTATAGAGATTATTAATTTTTTAGCAAGAATACTACAGAAATGATGTGCCCTTTCCAGTGTATCAAGTTAAAGTGTATATAACCTCAATATGTTTTTTTACAGATGATGTTAAAACTTGATCACTTGGCTGAGGTGGTGTTTCCAGCTTCCTCCACTGAAAAATTATTTTTCCCTTTATAATTAATAAATATTTGGGGGTAGAAAATTTGAGAATATTCAAATATTCTATTTCTCCTTAAACTTTCACCTACTTTTTACCATAGATTTTGCTTACAACAGCTATTATTGTTCTCTTCTAATGCTTTTTCTTTTTCTCATTCCTTCTATATTTTTTAATCAGAGTTTTTCTGTAAGGAACAACTGTTTCTTCTCTCCCTATTTAACTATTAAATTATTTGTTAATGTCATTATGGGTTTATTTACTTTTATTTTGTTATTTTGTTATTTTGTTATTGGGTTATAATCCAATATTACGGTTATATGTTTTGTTGCTCAGTCATTCCAGTTCAGTCATTAGGAGCTCTTTCACATGTCACCTGTGTCCTTTCAACATGCCTCTGTCTGCCCTTGAACTCTTCCTTACTTTCTGGCATCATAAAATGTACTAGGCTCATCTTAAATTTTTCCTGCTCCACCCCTGCCAATGCAGGAGATGTAAGGGACATGGGTTATATATGTTTGTCCTGTATTTTCCAAGTCTCCTGTAAATATGTTATCATACTTTCATAATTTAAAAAAAGTTTTAAAATACCAGATTATATAAAAATAAACATGTAGAGAAAAAAATGTGATCATGGCATAACATGTAGCACACTAGTGAAGAATAATATTAACACTAGATAGAAAGATTATTTTAACTATATTGGGAGGATGAGGGGAGGAAGGCTCTGTGTGTGTGTGGTGTGTGTGTGTATGTATATGTCTCTGTAGGTGTGTAGGTATGTATAGGAGGGTTAATTCTTTTTAGGATTGTGTTAGAGACTGCAAGCTACCCATTCCTTTACCCATGTAAAGGAAGCTATACATTCTTCCTTCTTCCTTTGTAATAGAACTGTGGATATATCTGGGGGTTAATCTTTCCAGTTAAATGATTACATTTTTCAGATTTACTTTCAGCTAGGTACAGTCAGATGTCTAGGTTCAGCAGAAGTATACAGAGGTACTTCCAGGAAATCTCCTTGAAAGGGACAGAGGAGCCTTCTACTGCTGGTGGTCTGGAATAGGAAAGTAATGGTCAGTGTTTTTGTCATTATCATAGACCATGAGAATAATGAACACACACCAATTGTAGTAGACCAGAGAGATGAAAGGATCCTGGGGCTGTAATGATACACTCAAGCTATCATATATCAGCATTGGACTGGCTACCAATATGTTCATCTTATGTAAGATAATATACTTCTGTATATTTAAGTCATCATATTCAGGTCTCAGTTAAGTAGCAGAACCAGATCTTAACTGATTTGTAATTCACTAGGTAATATCTAAAATGAAATTTAAGAAATAACAGTGTAAGTATGTTATTTAATAATGTAGAGGTAAATACAAGAAGAAAAAAGTTGAAAGTTGTTATTTTTGGCAGTAAAAATTGGGGTAAAAGCAAATGATTAATATTTTTTCTAACTCAGTAATATTTGACACTTATTATACATTCTTCCTTCTTCCTTTGTAATAGAACTGTGGATATATCTGGGGGTTAATCTTTCCAGTTAAATGATTACATTTTTCAGATTTACTTTCAGCTAGGTACAGTCAGATGTCTAGGTTCAGCAGAAGTATACAGAGATACTTCCAGGAAATTTCCTTGAAAGGGACAGAGGAGCCTTCTACTGCTGGTGGTCTGGAATAGGAAAGTAATGGTCAGTGTTTTTGTCATTATCATAGACCATGAGAATAATGAACACACACCAATTGTAGTAGACCAGAGAGATGAAAGGATCCTGGGGCTGTGATGATACACTCAAGCTATCATATATCAGCATTGGACTGGCTACCAATATGCTCATCTTATGTAAGATAATATACTTCTGTATATTTAAGTCATTATATTCAGGTCTCAGTTAAGTAGCAGAACCAGATCTTAACTGATTTGTAATTCACTAGGTAATATCTAAAATGAAATTTAAGAAATAACAGTGTAAGTATGTTATTTAATAATGTAGAGGTAAATACAAGAAGAAAAAAGTTGAAAGTTGTTATTTTTGGCAGTAAAAATTGGGGTAAAAGCAAATGATTAATATTTTTTCTAACTCAGTAATATTTGACACTTAACTTATGTACATGTATTACTTTGATAAAAGTTAAACTATTTGTTTAGGTACATTTTAATAGTATTTCAAGTAAAAATATGTCTTCATTGCAAAAATTCAAACAATACAAAAGATAAAGAGTACAGGTTATGCTTCCCTTCAAGATTTGTTGCATTTCTCCTGCCTGTCAATTCTACTCTCTCCCCAGGGATATTGGCTATTTAGCATGTTTCTCTCTATACTTTTTCTATACACTCACTTTGCCTATATAAGAGGCATAGTTTTCTCCTTTTATTTATTTTTATTAAAAGTGGATTTGAGGTTTTAAAATTTTTATTGGAGTATAGTTGATTTATGATCTTGTGTTAGTTTCATGTGTACAGAAAATGAATCAGTTGCACATATACATATATCCACTCACTTCTAAATATTATTTTCCAGTATAACCATTAAGAATATTGAGTAGAAGTCCTTGTGCTGTGCACAGATTTGTATTAGGTTCTTATTAGTTATTTACTGAGATGGCCAAAATGTTCACTCAGGTTTTTCCATAAGATGATATGGAAAAACCTAAATTAATGTTTTGGCCAACCCAATATTCTTTATACAGTACTGTGTATATGTCAGTCCCAATCTCCCAGTTTATTTCTTCCCCTCCTCATTCCCTGGTAACCATATGTTTGTCTTCTATATCTATGACTCTGCTTCTGTTCTGTAACTAAGTTCATTTATACCCTTTTTTTACATTCCACGTATAAGTGATAGCATATTTGTCTTTCTGTGTCTGACTTCACTCAGAATGACAATTTCTAGGTCCATCCATGTTGGTGCAAATGTCATTATTTTGTTCTTTTTTATGGCTGAGTAATATTCCATGTATATTGTACCACATCTTCATCCATTCCTCTGCTGATGGACATTTAGGTTGCTTCCATGTCCTGGCTATTGTAAATAGTGCTGCAATGAAAAAACTGGTTCTAAATTTGTATAAAGTACTGATGAGGAAATATTTAGATTTATAATAGTTGTTATTTATTTATATTTTTAGGATTCAAGATACAAGCATGAAGTTAAAAAGTTACCAAGATGAATTTCAGAGGGTACAGAAAGAATTGAGTCAGTTGCAAGATGAGTTAAAAACTAAACAAAAACAATCACAAATCTTCAGGTAAGATTATCTTCAAAAAATTGGAAGTTATAGTATTGAAAAGATGCACTCATTTAATAGTTTAGAGACATTCAAACACATTTTAATAATATAGTTTCTGTTTTTATATAGCTTAATATTATAGTTTTGTTAAAAAATGTAAACACTGTTTTTAAGCTATCATCTCCACTGAATATTTTCACCAGTGACCTTTCTGGGGGGCTGGGGGGCGCGTGCTGAGCCCTTGCTGCCGTGTGGGAGCGGCTCATTGCAGCGGCTTCTGTCCTTGTGGGGTGAGGGCTCTAGAGCGCGCGTGGGCTTCAGTAGCTACGGCTTGTGAGCTCAGTAGTGTGTGGGGCACAGGCTTTGTTGCTCAGAAGAATGTGGGGTCTTCCCAGATCAGAAATTGAAGAACCATGCCCTCTGCGTTGGTAGGTGGATTCTTAACCACTGGACCACCAGGGAAATCCTGCCAATAACTTTTAAATCAGGCAAGCGCCTTGTTCTTATTTTGCAGGGACATTTAGAATGAAAGCACAGTAACAAATTCATTTTCCTCTTGACCAGTATTTCTTGGTGTATGTGATCTCCTAATAGTTCAATGACACGAGAAGAATAGATTGGAGAAATTTTCTAACTGGATAGTAATAGACTTCTAAATTTACAAGTGTCCAACATAGAAGGTGTTAAATCTGTTTTTATATAATCTTTGGAGGGTTTACAATAACTAAAGGTAAAACCCAACATTCTAAAGAAAGTAGGAAGTATTTTTAAAAAATAAATATATTGCAAATATAAGAAAGAATGATTAATTTTCAAATTGAGTAGCTTTTAACTCTTAGAAAAGTGGAATAAGTTAAATGAATATTACAAATAGACACAGGTTCAGGTTGACTAAAATAATATGTCAGGTGAATATTTTTAATATTCTTATTTTTTCCAAGCTACTAGTTATTATTAAGAATACTGTTCTGTTAAAAAAAATGATCTGGCTAATAATTTATATGCAGTGTCTGGTGAAAACCTGTTAACCACCTATGTTTCATTAATATCTTACACAAAACTGATGTTTGAATGAATGAATGAGTCTACTCACAAAACAGATGGCAACTTTCGTCATCAGAAATCTCTGCTTTTTCCTAGAAATCTATATTGAAACAGCAGGATACCACCCGGTGACCTCAACTCTCCATTTTAGTCAGGACCATCAGTATTCAATCTTGGCTCCAACAATAGCTTTGGCCCAAGTCTGCTAGGGAAACCCATTTTTTTAATCCACAAATGCCATTATGGATTGCAGGATTGACTACATTTCAAAGGTTAGACTAGGACTAGATTAGATAATTAATGCTTCTTCAGAATATTATGGACATTATGGACTAATACACTCAGTCTTTATTATTTATATTTTACATGTAATTTGAAGTATTTTAAATTCCTAAAGAAACTTATACATCTTTAAATGCTATTTTTATTCTGTGTTCTAATTTTGTCATCATTTTACTGCTTATTTTTTCAAATGTTTTCAAAAGATCTATGATTTTTATATGAAAGTGAAAGTTAGTCACTTAGTTGTGTCCGACTTTTTGTGACCCCATGGACTGTAGCACACCAGGTTCGTCCATGGAATTCTCCAGGCAAGAATACTGGAGTGGGTTGCCATTTCCTTATATTTCTAGCTAAAAGATCACAAACTGGGAGTATGGGATCTGATTTATTTAAAAAGCAGCATACTAAAAATTTTGAAAGTAACCATATAACTAGACACAATGTAAATAAGTTTGTGACTGATGAATAAAGGTAATTACTGGTTTTATTAATGCTCTCAGTAGTAGGTACATTGCATGGGAAAAAGCAGTTAGGTGGAAATAAAGTCAAACCCAAAGTTGTAGAGTTCAGTTATTTTTCTGCCTTACTAAAGGCTCATTTTAAACTAGTTTACTGATTATTTAAAAAGTATCTACTAGAACATAAAACTTTGAGTTTGCTGTGGATAAAGAAAAGGAGCTTATAATCTTCTCTCTTAAAGTGGTAAGAAAAAGAAGCTTGAGCTTTAGCTACTCAGATGTAATCGTCTTTAGCTGTGGAACCCAAAAGGAACTTTCAAGAGATGAGTGAACTATGTCTTTGAGTCACTTTGCTCTTTTTAAATTACCCTCTCATTTGTTTAATCGCGATCGGGTTTAATCACCTAGCCTGCAACCACGTGTCCTTCATGCTTTGCATTTCCCCTGGCATCATTTCCACCCTGTCTCTTGCAAAGGGGTGATGAGCAGGAGTAGCTGTGGTTCGCCTCAGTTGGCTCAGCACATCTGCTGTTCAGAGGAAAGTGTCTTTTGAGAATCGAAATTAACTTTTGAAAACCTGTAAAATAGATACTAAAAACCAGTATGAAATATAGGTATATTTCACTTTATGTAAAGAGGGAATGGCAACCCACTTCAGTATTCTTGCTTGGAGAACCCCATGGATAGAGGAACCTAGCAGGCTGTGGTCCACAGGGTTGCAGGGAGTTGGACACGACTGAAGCAACACAGCATGCATGCATGTGTATAACTCCAATATTCCAAATCAATCTATATTTGAAATATTTTAGACTAATGCTTACTTTTAAAGGATTCTTATTGTGAATCTTCTGTAAATTGTTAGAAATACACTTATCCTTTAATTTTTCTTATTTGTAAATAAATTCAGAGTCTGTTATTTCTGAAATTTTCAAGCCAACTCCCCAAATCTCTCACTTTCATAACAACTCTTCAGCCACATGAAGACTTCTAGTATTTACTTTTTTTCTGATTCTCCCAACCATTTCTGACTTCTCTTTGTTTTCTACCCTTGATCCTGTAGTTAATAACCTTATATCTTTAAATAGCTTTTTAAGATATAAATTACATACTATAAAATCCACCAACTTTTAAGTGGATAATGTAATGATTTTTAGTAAACCTACTGAGTTGTGCAACCATTACCACTTCCAATATTAGAGTATTTGAGTCATCCTGAGGAGACCCATATGCCATTTGCAGTCAATCTCTGTGTTTACCACCAATCCTAGGCAATTACTTATCTTCTTCCTGTTTTTATAGATTTGTATTTTTCTGAACAATTCAGTTACATGGAATCCTACAATATGTGTTCTTTTATATCTGATATCTTTCACTGATATCTTTGATGTTCATCTATGCTGTATTTTTTCCTTTTCGTTGCTAAATAGTATTCCATTGTATGAGTTTGCCACATTTTATTTTTATAAGTTGAGAGACATTTGTTAGCATTTATAGTTGAGAGACATTTGTATTGTTTCTGCTTGTTGGCAGAATACTGCTACTATAAACATGCACATACTTTGTGTGGATGTATGTTTCATTTCTTTTGCATAAATACCTAAGTTTCAATAATTCAGAATTATTGAGTTGTAAAGAACGCACTGGTCATAGCAAACAGCCTCTTCCAACAACACAAGAGAAGACTCTACACATGGACATCACCAGATGGTCAAGACCAAAATCAGATTGATTATATTCTTTGCAGCCAAAGATGGAGAAGCTCTATACAGTCAGCAAAAACAAGACCGGGAGCTGACTGTGGCTCAGATCATGAACTCCTTATTGCCAAATTCAGACTTAAATTGAGTAAAATAGGGAAACCACTAGACCATTCAGGTATAACCTAAATCAAATCCCTTATGATTATACAGTGTAAGTGAGAAATAGATTCAAGGGGCTAGATCCAATAGAGTACCTGATGAACTATGGACAGAGGTTCATGACATTGTACAGGAGGCAGTGATCAAGACCATCCCCAAGAAAAAGAAA